CGCTGCTGGCAATATTCCTCGTACTCAGCATGATATGAGGGGTCTTGCGACGATTGCGACATGAGTGGAAGGAAAGCTGCTGCTTCTGTGTTTTGGGGCTTAAAGTGGAGAAGGCGGTGGCAGGAACGCTAGTGAAGTCCTGTCTCTAATTATATGTGACAGTCTAAAGAGAGCAAGCATTGCGGCAGGATGGTTCGTGCTCAAGCTGCCTACCTTCAGGTCGTGTGCAGTAAGAGGCTCAGCAACTGAACGGTGGCGGCACTCTGAGCTCGGGACCTTCCAGGCTGGTGATGTCAGCGGAGTTGCTCCGGCTGTCCTCCCGGGAAAAAGAAAAGCTCTTTGTATTGCGGAATACGCATAGCGATCTTCAAAGCTAAGATGCACTCCTATTTATGCTGTGGTACGCGGTTGTTCCAAAAACTCTGAGGGGAGACGCACCTAGGGAGGATCTCCACTGAACATGAATCTGCCAGTTTAGGGAGAATCTCCGCTGTACAAAAGGATCTGTCTCTGGCGATGTTGGATTTGCTGGGAGAAACTCCACCTGGGGGAGAAGCTCCTCCTTTGCTGCTTTTGGGGAGTCATCTCCTCCTTTTCCCTATATGAGAGAGATACGTCCGCAGGCGGTGCCGATTTTGTTAGGAGAGAATCTCCTCCTGGGGGAGAGTCTCCTCCTGTTTTGCTTGAGGGGAGAGGCTCCTCCTTTATCTTTCTCAGGGGAGGATCTCCTCCTGTTGTGGCTCAGTCCTCCTGCTGAGCCTGTAGCCGGCTGCTCTGCACTTCCCACTCAGCGGCAGCTAAGTTAAGCGTTCTGTCTTGTGCGAAAAATCTCCCGCGTACTTCTTCGGTTGACTCCAAATATTGCGTCCGGAAGGGTTCCACCAGGAGTCGGGCCGTGTAGGCTCCGATGTAGGTTTCCCTTTCCAATGCTACTATGTCGAACGTGTGCAAGTGCTGAGCTTGAGCGGCGAATGCGCCCGATTGGAGACGCGCTGCCGCCAAATAGGTGAGGCTCAAATCCATCAGCGCCCTCCGTCGGCGGCGCCGAATCTCTTCCCATTCGCCGTATCCGTGTAGGACACTCAAGTGTTGCATGAGTGTGCGGACGCCCTCTGGGGGGAGTAGCTCCGCCGCCAGGCACATTAATTGGTCTTTGGTCATTATCGCCAAAGCCTGAACCCTTACCTCCAGGTCACGGAGGGCCTTACCGGGGAGCATCTCCGTTCCGGATGAGGCCAGGTGCCTGTGCAGGAGTCCCGCAAAAGTGGGAATCAGAGCCAGCGTTAGCTGGGTTGGGCTGCAGTCGTACACCATGTTGCTGCGAGGGACTGCTGATCTGCTTGAATCACTGAATGGCTGTGGCAGTCAAAGATGCTGGGGCCGTAACGGATTAACCGAGCTGAGGAATGAACTAGAGCAGCGGTACTGGCAGTTGCTGGCTGTTCTGTCCTCGTGTCCTTGCAGATCGGCGGATGAAATACCTGGCGTGATGCAGAAAGCGGGTAAGGGCTTTGTGTTGGGGAGCTATAAATCTGTTGAAGTCTGATTTAGACTCTGTCGTAAGGCTTTAGGGGAGAAGCTCCTTCTGTACAGCAAGGAAATGAAGGGAGCTACTCCACCTGGTTGAGGGCTGCTGGATTGTCTGATTCGCTTAGCGGCTGAACTTCCAAGACCTAAGGCAGACTGGAGTTCCCAAGCTGGCTGTCTCTGGCAGTGCTGTCCTCCTGTGCTCCAGGGTCCGCAAACATGTACCTGGCGTGATGCAGTAGTGTAGTAGTGTTTAGTTTGGGGAGTTCGAGCTCAATTGAGGTCTGATTTTGTACACTGAGAGGGCTGGAGGGGAGAAGCTCCACCTGTACAGCACCTGGTTGTCAGACCTGCTCATGATAGCCGGCTTCACCTACTCGTGAG